CATCAGTCTGCAGAGATGAAATAGATCTCTATTTGAGAACGTTATGGATGATTAGCTAACTCTGGGGAATGCAAAGTGACCGGATCGCTCCCCAAAGTATGAAGAGTCCTTTTGATGCTGCTAAAAGGAGGCAATTTTCCTTTTTTTAGATTCCATCAGGGGATTTGTGGATCATTATTGTTTGTCTTCTCACCGTGTACTTGTGTGTGTGGGGGGGGGGATAAGCATATCTCTAGGCCTCCACTTGGAACAGCATCTTCAGTTCAAGTTGTGTGTCCCTCGGATAAGATACAAGGGAAGCCACTTGCTGTGGAGGCCTGAGGATCAAGTGATGTGCGTGTGACCAGTTGCTCTCTCAATATCACATGTTGGCCTCGTTGTGGCCGCGTACCCGATCCGTTGTATTTGCAGAACAAATAAAGAATGGTCCCCTTTTTTATTAGACTAGCGTCGTTCTGAGCAGTGCTTTTGACATTCAGAATGACACCGGGCTCAATAAAACTAAATAATAATAATTAACTCTGATAAAGAACCTAAATTGAATATACCATATTACCTTTATGGAAAGGAGTCATTGAAAGATGGAATGTTTTCTATACGAAACCATTCCATTTAAAATGTGTCGGCTTAATGCAAACGATAGATCTAGGTTCGTTTCAGAGACCTTGGAGATAAAGAGGAAGGAACATGGTGGGATGCTATTGGTGAGGGATTGTGCGTCTACAGTTAATCCACAGTGTAACACAAAACTGCTCTCGTGCCTTTGTGTTAAACGTTAAGCTTTAGCCAAAAGCCAGTTGGCTTAGCTTAGCATAAAGACCGGAAAACTGCCACCCGGGCTCTGGCCGAAGGTTTTCCTTCTACCCGCCTGTTTAAAGCACACTGCAACCACAAATGTAATCCATGTAAACAAACTCAAATAGTAATAATGTAAATGAAAATGTTAATTTATGAGATTCAGTTGGGCTGTTAGCACCACGCTAGCTGTTGCCCCCTGAGCTAAGCTAAGCTAAACTACTGCTGCCTACAGCTTCACATTTAACTGCAAGTAAATGTATTTCCCCAAATCTCTCTGCTCCCATGCTAACACCGAGGATAACACATTTGTCCGTTATTATCGGACAAAAAGAGGCAATATTACTAACGAGGGAGCGAATGAATACAAAAGGGTTTTCTAGGAACAGAGACAATAGGATGTTGTTGTCGCACATTCTAGTTTTGATATTACCGGTGTGACTTTGAGGACTTACTCATATCGGCACCTTAATCGGAGGACGTCTTACTGCTAACAAAATTCACAGGCATTCTTCCTTCTGTGTATCATTATGAAGTTAACGTAAATACAACAAATAAACAGCAACATCTCTGTCTAATCCTATAGGCCGGGATTTGTTTAGTTAACGCTAAGACCCCGTTGACCCATTTCTGTCACCTCTAGCACGTCAGCGCCCACTCAACACTTACGAACAAAACACTAGTGCCCAACAGCACCCTCAGAGTATTCATGATAAAACAGATCATCTACAGGAGCTGGAGACACGAATTTGCTTCAGACAATACAAATACAGATAAATCTGGGGCATTAATCCTAGAGGGAAAAGGAGAAGAATCTCTGAGTGGATTACTTGAGGGTTCTCGTGTACTCTAAGTTTGAGGTTATAACATAAATAATATGACATTTTGAAGATTGCAATGCAAAGATTATTGTATTTTACAATAATGTACCATATATTAGTGCTTCAGTTCAGGGAGCAACGCTATAATCATGATAATAATAATTCAAACAATAGTTCATTTTAAAACGTGTCAAATGACACATCTTTAGAATAATTACAATAACCTACGACTAATCCCTGCTTAAATATTTAGTCACATTCTATTTATAACAATCACATATGAGACAATAAGCTTGGGGCCTGGCGGCATGGCATTTCTCCCTCAAACAAAGGTTACACTTTGAGAGATGTTTGTCTGGTTTAATGCGGTAATTCACTGTAGCCCAAACTATCTCTGCCGTCAAGAGTGCAACTGAATGCATTTACAACACAGCAGAGTACTGAAAAAAAACAGGCGCAAATGGGAGTCAGGAGACGTGCATTAAAATGAAGACAAGCATTCTTAGCTCTCTGCAATAGTAGGGAAGAAAAAAGTAGGACTCATTTTGTTACTTCAACTTAAAGTCAAACAAAACTTTGCTTGTGGTGAAACCCTCAGCATTACTGTACTTTGCTTTATTGTTACCAGTTAAAACTGAGCTGTGAAGGAGTCTGACCCTTGTGGCTCAATTAAGGGGCCTGCATTCAAGAAAGATAAGTTTAGCGTACTGACCTCACATACAAGTATTCCTCCTCTGTATTTCTGGTATCTCCTAAATGAACGGCCCTTTAGTCTGCAGTCCGCGTTCAATGTTTGCCCCCTTTGTTGTCCGTTATCCACAGAGTGGACAGATGGTTCCCTGTGCCCTCAGACCGGCTGGAGCGGAGGCTGGCTTTGCTATTAGTCCCTCAGCTTAGCCCAAGATAAGCCCCCTACACAGGGCAAGTGAAGCCGCATCTCTTGCCTAATTCTCCCTGTCACAGCCACCAAAGAGGCGTTCCTCCGCACGGAGATCCACGAGCGGAAGGGGCCTGCGGGCAGGGCGAGGAGGCTCTCTGGCTGGACACTGTCCAGCGGAGACAGAGCAGAATCCAGTTAAAGCCACCAACAACTAAGATGGAAGAGCTCTAGCCTTTTTCAGTCATTAAAACACACAGAGACACTGAAGAGAGGCTTTGTTAAGCGGTACTGCTCTGAAATTAACAACCCTGCATGGCTGCTGTGTTCCTCATTAGATTTTCGGAGCTTCCTGCCTGCAAAGGGCTGGGTTTGCTCTAAAAATAAATCGCCCTGTATGAAATTGGTGCTTTGTACAAGGACCCCACTAATTGATGGCTGGGAAGGACAATGCCGTGTTTGAGGTATTTGGTGATGTTAAGCACAATGTCTTCATGGGGCGCTTCTCCCCACCCATCACTGCCTCTGCCCTCCCCCACACCAAGCCCTTCTGCCCCTGTAATGAGGCCATACTCGATACAATACAGCCCCGCACAGAAAAAAAAAATGCATTCAGCTGAGCTTCAAAATTGTGAAGGAAATGAATCAGTGAAGCATAAGTGGCATATTTAATTACTACTCACTGCGTTGCACGGGGACAATGATGGCTGCTGTGAGCCCCATGGCAGCCTGTCAGACATGTAGCAGGACACGTCACACTCACACATCAACTACGGTTTCAATACAATTTCCAATTTTTGTTACTGATATTTAAGAATTCATTGTCCACAAAGATGAATACAGTCCTTTGGAGCATTGTGTTATGTCGTTCTTCTCTTTTTAAGGCACTTATTCAGCGTGAGGCTCAGTTCATAATGAGGGGTTAAGCAAAGGCAGTGACGACTGATAGGAAATGTTCTAGGTAGGGCAATCAAATCAACTTCAGCCGACATCCCAGATTGATTTAATGCAAAAAATTAAGGTATCAAAACACATTACTACTTTGCAGTTAAATATTTCATATTCATTTCAACATGAAAAAAACATGTACATGTACATAACACTGACAATTTTATTTTCATCACCCTCACATGCAATTAAGTATAATAGTTATATATATAATCAAATAATAATCAGTATGATATAATGTGTACTGTAAATATGTCAGTTGTCTCGTCTGCTTGAATGCCGATCAAATCCACGCTCTTGACTTCCTCCAAAATGTCATCCGCCTGATAGCAGCCATGATGACAATATACAAGGTTTGGGCAAAACCAATGTTGCCCCAATTTGCCTGTAAGGATTGTGTCAGACATTTTTTAATTAAATCAGTTAAAGTGGCTTGAGTGCTTCTGTGACTCGCCTTCTGGGGGCAGTATTCCGATTGCCCCAAACACACCTAGAACGTGTGTAAGACAGGCAGAGACGTGCAGGAAAAGCACATATATCATATTTTACATACTTGTACTTTTTTTCATTATTTTGGGCTGCAACTGAGCTACAGTCAATAAAAGATCAGAACAGTATAACAAAACTTGTACAACAGTGCATCTGTCTGGATCCAGACTCCAATTTGATTTGTTGACCAAACCACAACAAATCCACCAAAGCTTTCAAGGGCGCTGAGACTCTTTTTTTCTATGCTTTCTGAGACCATGAGATGATCTGGCATTTCATGCCAATCACTCGTGACGAATTTCCCTCCCCTCATGTACCTTGTGTGTCAATGAGATTAAGGAGTCGGGGATTTTATGTAAAGGGATTGCTATTAAGCGATTACTGGGACTTGTTGGTGTAATCGGTTACAGTTAGTGACAGCAGCATATAAAGAAGAAAGAAAGAATAGCCCAAACATGAAACGAATGGGTCTGCACTAAGTTTACCTAAATAGAAGAAATGGCTAAAGGATTAATATAATATCTAAATAACACACAGTATACATTTTTCATTCACCACTTTTGGTTGAAATCCAGCAGCACCCTTTAAACTGCTCTGTATCGATATAATAATACACTATAACATATTAGAATAAATACACTAGATCTGTTCAAACATTTTGCATAACAAGCGCAAGGTGACGCATGGCTGCATTTTCATATTCCACGTGTCAAATGCAAGTTGAACGTATAGATATATTGCGAAGTACTCTTGAGGAATAAATGTCATATTGCCAATTATCATGCACGCATGTTATAGTGAAAAATACGGACGAAAAGCATGTTTATCAAATAATAAATGCCCAAATGTAGACGTACTTTTGTTTATAACAAGCTGTTGATGACAGGATGATGTTACTAACGTTTCGTCCCTCATGTCTTCTTCCGCAGAGAACCAGGCTGCGCAGCTCGTGTTAGCTGCGCATTAGCCAACGTCATGCTAAAGATCCAGCTAGCGAAGCTTATCACATGATTGCAAAACGTTTATTCTCTTCCTGGTTTCGTTTTCGGTCTGGTGACCTTTCTCCACAGCTCGGACGCGGACGGACTTGGACCGCTGACACGTCGATGCGCGTCAATGCGCAGTAGCGGTGTGTGCGCGCGGACCCCCCGCGGGCCATGGATTTCCAAACACTTTGCACCTTTGACACCTATAAGTCGCTGTGGAGTCACTACGGCTACGGGGGAGACCTCCGGCACGTGCTGGAGCAGGAGTTCACTCGGACTAAAGGTAAACGTCTCTGTCATCGCGTGTAGTGACGAGGCAGAGGCGCCGCTTGTGGACCGCTTGCACACACACACACACACACACACACACACACACACACACACACACACACACACACACACACACACACAGGCGCACACACACACACACACACGGCTGCTCTCTTGTTGTCAACAGGAATTACGTATCTGGATCATGCAGCGGCTACTCTGTACCCGGAGTGCCTGGTCAGGGACTACTTCCAGGACGTGTCGAGGAACGTGTACGGTGAGGGAGGTTCACGTGTCCTTGATTCAGCCAATGAGATCCAGAGCATGAGAGCGTTGTCATTTCTCCGTAGGAAACCCTCACAGCCACCACCCCAGCAGCAGACTGACCCAAGACACCGTGGACAGGGTCAGATACAGGTACGGGCTGCTCATAATGGGCCCCTGTAACTCACATGAGTGCTACTTTCCCGGATGAGATGAGAGAACTGAACTTTTTCTTACAGGGTGTTGCACCATTTTAACGCCACCCCTGAGGAGTACTCTGTGATCTTCACTTCTGGTTGCACAGCCGCGCTCAAATTAGTGGCCGAGAGCTTCCCCTGGAGGCCACCGACTGAGAGCGAGGCGGGAAGTCGCTTCTGCTACCTCACCGACAGCCATACCTCTGTAGTGGGCATAAGAGGGCCGGCCTGTGGCCGGGGGGCCGTCGCCCTGCCCGTCGCCCCGCAGGAGGTGGAGAGCAGGGCGAGGACGGAAAGCCAAGGTGCTGCTTGCCAGACGCCGCACCTCTTCAGCTACCCGGCGCAGAGCAACTTCTCGGGGAGGAAGTATCCCCTCGGCCTCGTGAGGGGCATCCAGGCGAGGCGCCTCTACCCGGCGTGTGACCACCGGGGCCGCTGGTTTGTGCTGCTCGACGCAGCCTCCCACGTCAGCTGTTCCCCTCTGGACCTGCAGGAGTGCCCCGCCGACTTCATTCCCATCTCCTTCTATAAGATGTTCGGCTTCCCCACAGGCCTGGGGGCCCTTCTTGTCCGTAACGACGCAGCGGGCGTACTGAAGAAGACCTATTTTGGAGGAGGCACAGCAGCAGCTTACCTGTCAGGAGAAGATTATTATGTGCAGGCGGCCAACATTTCTGACAGGTAAAAAGCACCGTACGAGCCTGTCAAATCCAAGATGTTTTCTGAAGGCCCACGGTTGTTCTGTAGCTGCTGCATCAGTGTTCGAAGACGCAATGCTTTCTTTCTCCCTGATAAAGATTTGAAGATGGGACTGTTTCTTTCTTGGACGTCATTGCTGTAAATCACGGTTTTGATGCTCTTTACAGGATCACAGGTATTGTAACAGGGCATTTCAATAGAAAAAAAAACACTAAAGTATTTTTTACACACAGAATAATTATGCATATGCAATAATTTGTTAACCAGCAATATTCTGTCTTCATCTGTTTTTGGCTTCAGGGGGAATGCACAATATACAGCGGCACACCTATGGCTTGGCACGCTACACTTACATGCTGCTGTCTAGCCTTTGCCATGGCAACGGGCGACCGGTGGCTCAGATATACACAGAAGGCCTGTTTGAGAGTCCAAACACACAGGGAGCAATCCTTAACTTCAACCTCAGAGATTCTCATGGACAAATAATTGGCTATTCTCAGGTGGATTCAATAAGTTTCAGTTTCCCAACATTTGAAATACCTCATGTTTTATGCAGAGGTAGTGTCGGTGCATTTTAAAACAGTTCCTCTGTTGTTCCTCAGGTGGACACAATGGCCAGTCTCTACGATATCCATGTGCGAACCGGTTGCTTCTGCAACACTGGAGCCTGCCAGTCCTTCCTCGGGATCACCAATGAGCAGATGCGGAAAAATCTGCAGGTGAGGGAAACAGTTATAGGAAAAAAGTCAGAGTCAATTAAGAGCATTTTCATGTGGAAAAAATGCTGTGTTTTTTCGCTTCAAGGCCGGCCACGTCTGCGGAGACAGAGTCGACACGGTGGACGGCCAGCCGACCGGTTCTGTGCGCGTGTCCTTCGGCTACATGTCGACGTTTGAAGACTGCGAAAAGTTCCTGAGGTTTGTGGCTGAGTGCTTCGTGGAGAAGCCAGTCACAGTGGACCAAGTGAGACTGCAGAAGCTCATCTCAGCCTCAGCAGCGTCCCAGTGTTCACCAGAAGATCCTCCAATCAACATAACTAATGGTGGTACACTTGGAGCAGAAGAGAGGGCGGAGCCTACACATGCTTCACCGAGGAGATCTGGACAAAGAGAGTCAAAGACCCAATGGGAGGCTTATACCCTGACCAACATCTACATATACCCCATCAAATCATGTGGAGCCTTTGAGGTTGTAGAACAACCCATATGGTGTATCGTATATCTTGATCTTTCACTTTATTCGTTCACTGTCTGCCCCGTTTCTTTCCCCTCTCTCATGCTTGGATTTCGCTCTGTGCTGTTCGTCATGCAGGTCCACGACTGGCCGCTGGGACCACTGGGTTTACTCTATGACAGAAGCTGGATGGTAGTGAATGGAAACGGCGTGAACCTGGGCCAGAAGAGAGAGCCACGTTTGTGCCTCGTTCGCCCACAGGTCCACCTGCCCTCGAACAAATTGCTTCTGCGGGCACCAGGTCAGCGGCTCAGTAGGATCAAAAATAAATACAAAATCAAACTGCTTCAACCAAAGACATCTCAGTCCGACGGATGTTCTGCTATAACTTTTCTTTGTTAGAGGATTTATATATATTTTTCCACTTCCCTGCAGGCATGGATACCATTTCGGTTCCCCTGAAAAACAACACTCAAACGCACGAGAGCTACCAAGTGTGTCAGAGTAAAGTTTGTGGTGACAGGTGAGCTGGCAACGTTGAAGCATTTGAATGCAGCAGCTGCAGGAAACACTGTGACACATATCATATGTCGCGGGCGCTTTTCGCCTCGTATCAGTGCATTCTCTCGATTTTTTTTTGGTTCACCGTAGATGTTGCCCCAAATGACAAGCAGCATCAAACTCTGTAGATTCCCCTCAGGGCCTCCACAACATAATGGGCCTCCTTCTCCCCAGGGTGGAGGCTGTCGACTGTGGGGATGAGGCTGCATCGTGGCTCTCAGACTTCCTTGGACAGCCGTGCCGCCTGATAAGACAAAGTCCCGATTTTACCCGTGATGGGAAAAAGAGGCTGAGTGGAGGTAGCGATTTAAGCATTCTGACCTTTCTCTTTTTTTTCTTTACGCTGGATTTAACTGCAAAAATCAACATGTGCAATCCAGGGTTGCACGTCCTGCTAAATCCACCTGCTCGTGGCTGTGACCCTACATCCCCTTCAGCTGGTTAGCTGGAATGAATCAATCATCCTTCTCTTCTTCTGCAAGTTACTCTGTTTACAAGCATCATTGTATTACATCTAAATTAATAGCTAAATAATATTCACCTAATTCCATTAAGAGGAACAAATTGACAGATACTGTCCACAAAGGGGACCTTAAATCAGATACGGCTGTGGAGACACTAACTCGTACCAGCAGGCGATCAGGAACAGATATGCGGGGGTAGCTGTTGCATCTTCATCGGTTCTATGCATCTAGTTGAGTTTCTGTGTTGTGGTGAGCAGTGTTCAGCCTGTGAGCTGTGACCTCTGTTCAGTCAACGATACCTCAGCCGGGGCTTCTCAGCAGAAAGCCTGCATTACAATCTGGCTTTTTAAAAGACCGGGGTATTTAGCAGCCAGGAGGATCTAACGCAGAGATCTTATCCAGTTGCATTATGGGAAGTGTGGGCTCCAGTGTTTTAGGAGTATTACTTAAGGAATAGTAATAAGAATATATTTCCCTTTTCTGCACAGGCGCTGTCTTTTTAGAAGTCTGTTTTCAACGGATATATCCCAACTTTTAGTGTCTGGTATAAGTCAAGCCCAGAAAATACTGCATCCCTCCTTTCCCATAATGCAACTGGGTCATTTCATTTGACCCATGACTGCTAAATGCCGTACCTCTTTTTGCGTTTGTAAAGCAGGTTGTCTGTTATCTGCGGATGACGTTGGCGTTATCAAGATTCATCTGACGGCCTTGAGGAAGTCCCTGAAGAGACAGAAGCCATTATGCAACTATTCGCGCAGTCTGAGTAGTAGTACCCGTCACAAATATACCAACCCTCGTCTCCATTTTAGGATTTTTGCTGGTACTTTTGCATCAGTGAGCCACCCTCCTTTATTGCATTATTTAATTCAATTTTGCATTATCATGATGAATTCAGGTATTTTGTTCACTGGATGAGCCAATTCCCATTTGACTCTTCAATCCATTAACAACTTCTCTATTGAATTTCTTCACAATATGTGAAGCCGTTTGAAAAAACAATCTTATCACAAGGTCCGTGTTCTAGCGGTTTTGGAGCTTTTGATCGTATCACACAATCTTTGTCACCAGATGGAGTTTTCCCCCGTTGTCATTGAATTGCAGATATTGAAATTTACATTGCCAGAGCATTTCAAGGACATCTCCTTGGCTTTAAAGTTGTGATTGATGTTGCTGTATAATATTACACTCACACAGATGGAACATTTGATCCAAATCCCCGAAATTCAATTAGAAGTGCACGTTTTGATTAGCGTTGACAAATTTACTCACACCTCCTTCACAATTCGTAATACAGCGCAACCTCAGTTTTCCGGCGGCTGAGCTAACCAGGCGTCAGAAGCTTTTCATAAAGTCACCGGGGTAACAAAAAGTCTTTCCCTCCTAGCTGCCACCTCCACGTCCCTCTCCCTGGTGAATGAAGCGCCGTATCTGATGATCAACCGCGCCAGCGCGGAGCTCATTCACAAGCTAATGAGCAGCAGGTTCGAGCACATCACGCGTAATTCAAAGTGCACAACGCTCCAGTGAATAACGTCAGGATCCGTGGACGCCTGTGCATTACCATGACAGTGGCTGATGTTTCCAAATAACATGCAATTTCCACGTTTCCCCCTTCCCAGGCAGGACGACACGGAGGGCGACCAGCTCCTCGACACACAGAACGTCATTAGTCGCTTCCGAGCCAATTTAGTCATCGCTGGAGGAGAACCATTTGAGGAGGATAATTGGCCCCACTTGATCATTGGCAACACTCGATTTGTGGTGAGCTGACACTTTGAGATACGTGCTGAAAAGTTTCAAATGCTTTAAGAGCGGATCCCTCGAAAATAAATGTGCTCTCTTTGTGATTAAACTGAAGGTCGCAGGTCAGTGTGGGAGATGCCAGATGGTTGGAGTAGACCAGGAGACCGGGAGCAAAACAAAAGAGCCGCTAATGTCTCTTTCGGCCTACCGCAACGGGAAGGTCAGTCAAAAGCAATTACTGCTCATTCATCTAAATGCTGTGTGTGTGTGTGTGAGGGAGGGAGAGTTTTGCAGCAGTGACAGTTGGGTGAAATGGATAAAAAGATTTCTTTCATGTTCATGATACAATTTTAGGTGACTTTTGGCGTGTACCTGACCCATCAGCTGCCAGAGGGCTCCAGTACAATCAGTGTCCTGTCTGCTGGTTCTCCGATACAGCCGGAGCCACTGAGTTCCTGAAGTAGCCATCCGAATCATCCTGTTTATTCATCCTCTTTATTTATTTTGGTGACATCCTTGGCTCTTGTCAGTCATTTTGGGCCGTGCACGTCGCTTGTCAAACCCTGCGGAGAGTTTGATGCTACTCTTTTATTTGTCTCTGTAGCCACGGGGCCCTTTTGTCCTCTCAAGTGCCCCATTTCATACCAGGGATTTCATTTCACCCGACTCTGTTTAGATGAGAAATTATTTAGATTTCATCTCCTGTAAATGGGTGCCATAGTGGACGTCAAATAATAATCGCAGGACAAAGTTCTACTCTGAATGTGATATTTGAACCAGAACATGCGATAATCGCAGCTCATCGCGTTAACCTCCCAGACATTTCTTCTTCTGTTTATTCCCATGGAGGATTATATTGGTTTGCATTCCTAACACACCACTTAATGTTATCCCTGCCACAAATCTATAACACGTTGCTCCCTGAAATGGAAAAACCTACCAGACACTCGCAGAATATGCTCTGAATGTGTTGCTGACTTGGACATGACATGACAGAAAACTAATAATATCTTGCACACCAGAGATTCTGTGCCTGTACACAAAGAAGCCGTTCTGTCAACATTTGAGTGAAGTTTTCCCTGCACATGAGAGGACAGCAAGGTTTTGTACTGCTTGTCACATGTTTACACCTATATGCACGTGGCCCCATATTTTATAGTGCAGAGCAATTGCATTTAGATTGGATGGGATACAGAATGCTACTGGCCAAATCTAATAAGAAAGCTGTATATGCAAAGGTTTGAAAATAAAGTAAGTATACATACATAAATGAGTGTATATTTCTTTACAAATACAAATTGTTTTTTTCATCAGATGAAATGTACATGACTTAAAGGAAAAACATCTTAATTTCACGTGTCGTGTTATTTGTTTCAATCAATTAAACGTGTGTTTTACTTGAATTGAGTCTTTTTGCACAGTGAGCTCGCTGCTGCGTTTAAGGTGGCGTCACGTGTGACGTGGTGGGCTCCTCGTTGAACTGACTCCGCGCAGCAGTGCTACCTTAACCAAAGGTTCCGCCCCTTTGGTGAACTTTGGTCAAACTGCCCGATAGCCGATGACCAAGTGACCAAAAACAACTGACTTTACCCGAACAACAGTGCAGGTATGGCGAGGAAGAGGGTCTTCAAACAGGAGGGGTCATCCTCCGCCGGCAGCAGAGTCCAGGGGTCCGCCGGAGACCGGAAGCGCCCCGAGCCGTGAGTTACTCCCTCATAACTCACGGGGGTTTGCGCTGTTATCGGTGTTGCGCTGTTATCGGTGTTGCGCTGTTATTGGTGTTGCGGTGACGCGCTGTTGTCATGTGAGCTCGCGACTATTCCGGGTTCCGACATGTGCGACGGCCTCCCGAACCCGTCCGGTGGAGTTGGAGAGATATTCACACATTTGGACTTCCCGGTTCCGCGTTGGTAAAACACAAACGACAGCTTTCTGCAGCCGTAGTGACGTCGACAATGGGGGGGGGGGGGGGACCATGAACCATATTATGTACTTAATAGATGAATAAACGCAGATGTGTGAAACAGCATGAAAGGACACTTAATAAGGCGGTCACGTGACTGTGGCCTCCACCACTACAGATGGGATAATACATTAAAACGTCCATAAATCATTTATTTTACACAGTTTAAACAAAATAATTACTGTATGCAAACTGTATTGGAGGAAACATGTGAGTTTGATTGTGTAATAACTTCAAATATGTTAATGCAGTTGGACCGGAGAATATCAGGACATTCCTATGTAGTATTTCCAAATAAAAGCCTTTCGTAATCTCATACATGCGCCAATTTCAGGTCAATTTCACATTAGATTTGAAAGGAAATGGTCCGAAGTTACTAATAATTTCACTTCAGGTTGATAGCAAGCCAACTCAAGGTGTCACTCTGGAAGAATCAGGACAGTCGGATGGACCATTTCAAAATGGCCTGTTAAAATGTCATTCATGTGCCAACTTCCATCTAAATCTCATTTGTGAGACAATTTCTGTTCAATTTCAGATGTGATTTAAAAGGGAATGGTCAGTAGTTACATAATAATCTCACCACCTCTACGTGTCAATTGGCTAATCAGGATACTCCGATGTACTATTTCAAAATAAAAGTCTGTCAAAATGTCATTCGACTTCTGGTCAATTTCAGATTAGATTTGAAAGAAAATGGTCAATAGTTACATAATAGTTCACTTCAGGTTGATAGTACTAGTACCAAGTGAAATTATTATGTAACTATGGACCATTTCCTTTCCGATGTAATCTGAAATCTGTTTTTAATTTTGAAATGCCACATCAGAATGTCCTGATTATAATTGATCCCTTATTGAATGAATGTGTGTTCTATCACGTTGACCGGAACTGATTTTCAAGTCAGTTTTTACAAGCCACTACCGACTACCGTGAGGCCTATTTAGTAGGGGTGTAACGATTCATTCACTGAATCGATTAATCAATTTATATTCCTGTGATCCAACTGAATCGATCTGTGCTCCGCAAATCGGCATTCCAGACGACATATACCGATTACAAATCGATTGAAATAGTACATAATCGATTGTATTGATACTTGGAAACTGCACACTGGATTTAAGTACAAAAACGGCATGGATGTGTGTTTGTTTGTTTGTTTTTTAGCACTTTAGACACGTTAAACGTTACTGGATTCAGTCTGCCTGTCTGTGACGTCATCAGTACGCAGCGGCAGCCGCGCGAAACTCTGAACAACAACAAAACACAGCGTGGAGGAGACGACTGCGAGCGAGACATTTACAAACCAACTTATCGATCCAGCGCGTGGAAACATTTTGGCTTTTGCAAACACGGAGGTGTTCTGAATAAGCATCACATCACAGTAACAATTGCCAAGTTTATCTGTAAAGACATGCGACCCTACAATGTTGTTGAAAATCCGGGGTTCTGTAAATTGATCCAAACATTGTGTAATTATTGTGTAATGTTTATATTGAAAATGGCACTTGATTCAAATAAAAGGTTAATACATTTGCCATTAATTGTTGTTTGCTTGTTTATAATATCCATAATTAATTTAAACCTGATTTCCTTACAAGAAACAACAGGGATCTCAGAAACTTTGCCTGCACTGTCCAGTAAAGTTACTGAATCGATTTCAAGTCACTGAATCGAATCGAATCGTTCTAAATTAACCCAGATCGTCCATGAACCGAATCGGCAACCATGAATCGCGATTCGAATCGAATCGTGGTTAAAGTGAATCGTTACACCCCTACTATTTAGTATTTACGCAGACCACAACATAACATGGGGTCAAGGACTGAATTGTATATATCGTTACTTCTGTAAAACATATTTATTTTTATCTTCATATTCAGAGCTCTGGAAGTCAGGTTAGAAGATAACAGATCTGTAAATCGTCAGCAAAACGCCACCAAACGGAGTGGAAGAATGGTTGTACACTAAAACAAAGGTTACATTTTATGACTTGGCAGTTCCTCTACATGGCCTAAAGCCTTGGACGTCTTATAGAAAGATTTGGAAGTGAAAAGTAAAGTACAATCGTTAAGTAGGGACAGATGAAGCGACAGTTTAATGGCTGGGGAAATGAATGTCCTCCTATATGTTTCCCTCCAGCAGTGTGGAGAAATCCGTCTCCGACTAAAAGGGCTCTTCTGGCTGATTGGAGTGTTAATGCAGGGGGGTGGAATGTATCGTCCATTAATTGGCAATAGTCTGATCGCATTCTCTTCTCTGCTGTTGCCTCTAACGACACACTGCCCTCCTGATTAGACTGATCACTTCTTCTCTTCCATAGTAATGCTGCGACCCCCGGCTGGGAGGACATGTGCGGACCAGCTCTGCACATGCCAAGTGGCTTGATCGCACATTCCCGCGTACATCTGTTGTTTTGAACGACGGCACTCACAGACGAAGGCCAAACACACAGAGACGGAGCTGCAGTCAGTGAATGTGACGCCGCTGAATTCTGGTTTCATTCAGTAAAGCGATTCGGCACTTCCACCGTCCGCTCTGTCTTTTTTTGAGGGGGGATGAGAGGTTTGTGAGGCGCTCGACCTCACGAACCTCTCATCCAAAAAAAAACGTCTGAGAGATGGAGCGGGTTTCAGCACCAGACGGAGGTGGAGTGAATGGAGAAAAGGTGGGGGGGGGGGGGCTTAGTGTGGATTTGGTATTGTGTCAAATCCAAAGTGCACATGTGACGATCGGGGCGTGGGAGGTGATCTGGCGTCAAGGACGGAATTCAGTATCACCAATAGTGACGGCACAGTATTTCAGTTGGTTGGAGACGCAACATGGAGGCTCACCAGCTTCTGCGTGCGAGATAATAATCACATGTATTCACACTGATTTAGTTCCTCGCTCTGTTCGCAGGTCCGGACGGTGGCTGAAGGGAGGCGTACTGGCCACCATTGCTGTCTTCTTTTTGATGCCTTGCTTGCAGAAACAACTCCCTGCATTAATCCAGCACTTTGTTTACTCTCACAGAAGTAAGTAAGTAATCCCTGTGAGAAGTGGTGTAAATCCCCGAGTTGCTCACTAAAAAGGGCCCACCTGTGTTCTCTCCCCGTTGGCAGTCAGGGTGCCTCTCTTTGTGGACCTGAGCCGACCCGCTGATCTCTCCCTCAATCACACCATCAACACATACTTAACCTCGGAGGAAGGAATCTCTCTTGGGGTGTGGTGAGTATAATCGCAAAGTTAAAATAAAACAAATTGGACTTTTATTTTAATGATGCAGTCATTGTTTGTGCATGTAAGCGGGTGCGTTGTTCTGAACCGTCGTAGGCACACTGTTCCTGACCGGCGGTGGAAAGAGGCTCAGGGGAAGGATTTGGAATGGTACCAGAATACTTTCAAGGATGGAAGTCCCGTCTTCATTTATCTTCATGGCAACACAGGTTCAAGGTACAATAAATAATGCATTCGCACTATAGTTTGTTCCCCGAAAGAAGTTCTCGCCAGCTCGACATATCTGGGTTTATTATTTTTAGACACTTTACTTTAAATCTTTCCAACAGGGCAGAAACTCACCGTGTGGGGGTGGCAAAAGTGAGTGATCACCACCACAGACATGTGTATCTTCAGATGGTCTAATAAACATATGCAAGTCTCAATAGCTACTCTGATGACCAATAAGCTGTATGTGCCAACAGGTATTGAGTGCACTGGGTTACCACGTGCTGGTGCCAGACTACAGAGGTTTGTGAAAATGAAGATTTATGACCCTTCTTCCGAACATATTTTTCCATTGCGACGCTTCTTTCCCTTCGTATTGATTGTGATAAATAACCTTCCCACATACATTCAATATAATGTGGAGGCATAACGTCCCTGTGGAGCAATGCACTTGTGCTTAATGAGTGGTTTTGTTGTAAGGCAGTCAACAGACAGCGGTTCATTTTAAGGTCAGTGGCTCGTGCAGTTTCTCTTGCGTTGCTGCCACCTGGTGGCCGCATAGAGGATCTCTATGATGTATTAGTGAGCAGTCCCTGATCCTGATGTGAGAAAACTCTGGCAGGGTTTGGAGATTCCACCGGAGAGCCGACTGAAGCCGGTCTGACGACTGATGCCCTCTACTTATACAACTGGGTCAAAGCACGTAGTGGAAACAGCCTGGTCATCATCTGGGGACACTCTCTTGGCACTGGGTCAGTAACGAAAAACAGCATTTTTCCTCGTAAAAATGATTCATGTCACTGTTTTGGATGTGCATTGCATGCTCCGTGCAAATGTGAAAATGGAAGCCTAGATGTGATAGCCTCAAACATTTTTGCAAGAGCTCGACACTGAGGAAGACTAAATGCATCGACATGAAAGCAGCGCAGTGCCAAACACATAAAGACTGACATTATTGGCCAAAATGGAGAAACTGAGGATGTTTCTTTTCTGTGCAGAGTGGCCACAAACACTGCAGTAAAACTGATTGAGCGAGGTAAGTTAAGCCATCAGGGAATTTTGGCAAATATAAATAACATAAAAGCATTCCTACTTCTTTGTATGATTCTGCCTTGTCTCGTTTTCAGGTGAGAAGTTTGATGGAGTGATGCTGGAGGGTGCATTCAATACTGCTCGAGAGCCAATTCAAGCCCATCCATTTAGCTGGGTAAACTAAATTGTACTATTACTGCTCGTACTGATTGTACTGCTACTTCATTATACAATGAATGTCATGTTTTATCTTCTTTCTGTTGAAAGTACTACTGGAAGTACCCGGGCATTGGGTACTTTTTCCAAGAGCCGTGGGCAGAAAACAAGGTGGTCTTTCCTACTGAAGAAAAGTAAGTTTATTTAACATGGTGCTTCTTAAAAATAGAGTTTAAAGTTTAATATCCAATGATGCATAAAACATTCACCAGCCTCTAATGTGTTATTGCTGGGAAAAATGACAACTATTGAAGTTAATTCGTACTTTCTTTTTTTCACTACACACTTCATGAGCAGCAACAACAAAAAACAGTCCTGTTTCTTTCATAATAAGAGGCCTACTTCCTTCCAATGTGTACACCCCTAAACAATACATGTATACAATTATATTTAGTCACTTGAATATAATGCAACCTGTATGAAAATATAAGCATGTTAACAGTTATTACCAGCAAAATCCAATGAGTTGTTTTCTGATACTGCAGTTTGAAGAAAATGAGAAGTCCCATCCTGTTCCTCCATTCAGAGGACGATCACTTGGCTCCCATTCAGAGTGTTCAGCAGGTAACGCTGCTTTTCGTCTGGTACAATGTAAACAGAGGTGGTATAAATGGAACTGAATAAGGGTGTTCTCATGATTTTTTGGGGTAAAACATTTCTTTGCTGTTCTCTTCCAGATGTATGAGGTAGCAGTGAGTGCCCAGAATGCCGAGCGAGTCAAGCTGGTTTCATTTGACGGTTCTCTGGGGTATCTGCACAACGGCTTATATCGTGACCCCCATCTGCCTGACATCGTACAGTGAGAAAACATTTAAATTCCAACACTTAAACGGATTGTAGTCTGGCTTTGCAAACATTTATCTATTTTCTGTTTAACAACATGTATATCTATTATGTTTCCTCTGTAGGAACTTTGTGCTGTCCTTATAATGTCGGAAGAAGAGAAATCATGCCAGACTTCATCATTTGGCTTTACGCGGTAGCCAAATGGTTACAGTGCATGTCCTATGGCTACAACGTATCATTGCTTCCAATCAGTCTTCCTCTGTGCAAAAAAATTGGGGAAAACGCCATATTTTGAGAATCAAGTTCATATGGCAAACTGAGAGTAAAATTCTTACTGTGATTTATTCTGAATTATCAGAACCATAAACTGTTCTTCCCTCTGGAAATGAGATTTGGATCAGACATTGTTGCTGTATATTCCCTCTAATGTCTGTTGTTTTTCGGTGATAATGCTCATCTATACAGTATAATGCGTTTGGTAATCCAAGGCTTAAGATCCTTCGCCAGCAGCTGTGGAATGTCTGAGGTTTTTAAAAAAAGGTTTTAACCACAACAGCACTGCATTCCGAGTTGTGTAGTTTCTCACTTAAAATGTCATGCTCTTTAATTGCAATAAATTTGGGGAGTGCCGGTATCAACTAGCGGTACATTGGTCTGGTCTCATCCGAAAAAAACTTGGACATCCATCTTACACAGTTAATACAACTCCTTTTTACCTCTAATAAGTCCACTAAAGTCATTCTATAGCCAAAGTATAGCAAGACAGGAACCTTCCCTGTTTTGCTCAGGGAAGGTCCCTGAAGGTCCCGGAGCAAGACACTTATCCCCTAATTTCTTCCTGGGCAAAATAATAAAAAATAAATAATAATAAAAAGCTGTAATGTAATCTAATGTCATTTTCACTGTCACTCCAAGCGCCGCTGCTTGGAGTACTGCCCTGGTCAAAAAGGTGTAACGCCCCCCCCGGCCTACGCGCAGTAGCGGAAACCAAACGGAACAACAGCGCTGCACACCGGGAACGCAAAACAAATCGGTATAAAAGAAAACACAACGAGCCGATCGTCTGGTCCATTGAGGGCAATGGGGCGTGTGGCCCCACCTTGAGCGACAGGAATGTTTTTTTTAATTTGTGTTTTATAATAAAAATACATTTTACAAATAGTCAATATTTGTGTTTTTGAAACATGGATTATATACCCGGTAATATTTGTAAATTCAGATATCTGCGCAAAATATATGTTATTCCTGCACGTCCTCTCCGCTTGTCTGCATGTCTCAGCTGGCTCAGGTCGGACCGGGTCCCAAAGGCGGAGAGTCGAATAAGCAGTTAGCCAATAACTGATAAAGTTAATGAGTGACGTTATAATTTCAGTGGCCTAAAATACATTTAGATTTGGGTCCAACCCTTCGTCGCCCCACGCTGCGCCTCGTCAGGGCGAGTCTTGCGACGCGCCTATCTAGCGACATGACAATGGCGAGCAGTGTCTCTCCAACAAGACCAAACCCTAACTCGGTACATTCTCTCCTCAAAGAACCGTTTGACAGAAGAACTCGCGGAGAAACTAGAGGTGAAACAGCTGGACCAGGATCAGACAACAGACCGGCGTGAAAGGGAAGCCGAGGCTTCTGTAGAGATGCTACACTGGGAAACTAAGTCATTTTATCCTCCTTTTTGAAACCAGTGCAGTTAATGAAGAACACACTTCATCCAATACAAAATGGAGAGATCAAGGTGCAGAGCTACCGTATGTTTATTAAGGCTGCATTGTTTCCAGTACAAGAGGTGCATGCAGTGGTTACATTCTCCATGTACAGTGACTTGAATGCCTACTTGTTACATCATGCTGCTGTATGTGGAAACATCCCCAGACCTGAATGATTACGTGTTCTGATGAGCTCAAGTAGATGAGGAAGAAGCATTAGGAAATGTCTACTCGTCTCCAGTAGACCCAACTTGAAGCTTAATTACCTCATGAAATACGTATTATTATGGAAGTGGAAATGTTCTACAGCAGCGATTCCCAAAGTGTGGGCCGCGAGAGGTCATTTACAATAAATGTTTTTAATTTTCAATTTTGAAAAGTTTTAAATGAATATAAATATGATTTAAATTATTTTATCTGACCAGCTCTTGTCCGACTGTCGTTATTCAACAAAAGGCGCCGCCAAACAAAACAATGTCAAATGGGGCGCCCTCTTGTAGTATTAAAGTAAATATATAGGAGCTCCGGAGAAAATGGTATACAAAACATTGTTAATACATTTTTAATCGGTTAAATTCTTAAGGTCATTTAATCATCCCTAGTTTATGTTTTGATCAGAGTTGTGATTAAAGGTTTGGGTGGGCCGCAAAAGATTTTCAGATTTCAAATTGGGCCGCGGCATTCTTGAGTTTGGGAACCGCTGTTCTACAGAGTAATCCACATGAATCGGTGTGCCTGCTTGTTGAAAGATCCAAAGCTGGTTTAGGGCCATTTAAACCAGGATGCATTTCATGACACCTGCGACCGATTCAACGCTCCAAAAGGTTCACATGAACATGAGATTGAACCAAAGAAATCTCCCAAAACAAAAGGGTTCTATGAGAAGTGTTTTATTGAATTCTTCATCTAAACAGTGAGGTGGAGAAATGTTCTGAGTGGACGGCTGCTTACACTTCTGTTTACATCCACTCTCAGGACCACGAGGATTTCCAAAGGATACAACAGGAGTGCTGCCCTATAAACAAGAGGTACACATGTTTCCTCTTTCTATTTGGTGAGGAGATACAACATGTATTTCCCTTTGTCAGCTCTGCAATATCTCATATCCAGATTCAGTTACACTGACTGTTGGTGTTCACAATAAATCCTCTATTCTAACATTATCAGCCGCATGTTATTGTAATCTAGAAACATTCACAGGCTTCATCTTCTACACACAGTGTTGGATAAATGAAATATGTTGAGGGAAGTTAGCTGTGAGAAATATCATCACATGTTTACTCTTTATGTCTCTGAATGTTAGCAACAAGCTACTTCCTCACTTACTCCACTGAACCGTGGACGCCTAAAGCTCTCCTCTGGTCGCGGTCCTTCTCACCTGGTCGGGAGTGAGCGATTGTCTTCTGTCGTCATGGTCACCCTGGATGTAGTGCAGGAAGTTGAGTCTCTGAAACAGAAGAACAGGAAGTAGTTCAACTTAGCTGCTCTCCATCTTGTCCTGGGAGTGGAATGTGGGCGTTTCTTTTTAGTGTTCAACGTGTAGCCCTGGATGTCCTGCAGGAACCCGGAGTCCGGCTCTTCCTCCTTTGCTGCTCCCTGTGTGGACGTCAGACTGAGAAAGGCCAGCAAATACACCTAAATATTGATGTTATCATTCACTATTGACACTTTTCTGTCTGGGGCACAAACACCTTTGAGTTATTGAATTAGTGACAGTTTAAGGGTACTGAGGTGCACAAAGAGCTGGTTTACACAATAACACACATTACTTTATATACATATTACAGAAGTCAGATACTCTTACTCATCTTTTAGTCCACAGCGAGAGGTAGCGGCCTGTTAAAAATAACAGTGAGTAACACATATTACATTTTGATTATTGAATCGGTGATGTAACGCGGACAACCAAGTTACTCAGGTTTTATCTTATTCTTACAGGTCACAAGCTCGTACTCTAATTATATTCCTATATTTCTACAGATAAACTTGGTGATGATATATAGTCGTTATGCTCACACTCACCTTTTGGTCCTCGGTGAACAGCAGCAGCTCAGTTGGAGTGTGGTTAAAGTATTGGTTAGTAAAAACAATATTTGCATAATAGAGTCAACATACAAAGTGCATAAACAGATTCACAATAGAATAAAAGAACCTACTTCTAACGTTGCCTGTAGGTTACAGATTATTCTAAGTTACTTACCTTTTTCGTCCACATTGAACAGCAGCATCTCAGGTGGCAAAGTGAGAGAGGTAACAACACATAATGGTAAGTTATATAACAAATTATCTTTGCACGACATAATAAAAAATGATCTATGAACAAATAGATGAAGCAGGCAGTTTGTAGTAAATAATATTACTTTGTATTCATGTTATAGGTCACTGTCTGAACAAAACAGACGCTGGTACTTACTTTTTCACACGGCCAAATGGGATAAAAACATAATTAGTATGGGAAGTAATTGTAAATATTTGAATATTATGAATTTCCATAACGGCATACACTATATTTGGCCATATGAAGGCATTTCTAACCTTGGGAGTTCTACTTACTCTGTTGTTTGTCAGTTTTCACTGATACCTTCACTCTTAACCTGTAAAGGAATGTGGACACTGTGGGGGAGGGGGAGGCATAAAACGAGACATAAAAGCATTTTTGTCTTCTTCAGCCCTGCCAGACGCAAAGGCTACATGCTCGGGGTGTCAACGCCTCTGCCAGACGCAAAGGCTACCTGAGGCAGCGCCGGCCAAGCCAGTCGCAAAGGCCGGCCGTCAGGATGAAAGAAAAGTTGATCGATCCACCGCGCAAAGAAGAAGAAAAGCCCCAGAGCAAGACGCTACATGGGGGACACAAGCCCTGCCAGACGCAAAGGATACCAGTACCTGCAGAAGGGGTCAACAGCCCCGCCAGACGCAAAGGCCTCAGGATGAAATAAAGGTTGACCGATGTCTTGTGCAAATATGACTACATAATACAGAAAAGCCCCAATGCAAGACGCTACATGGGGGACACTAGCCCTGCCAGACGCAAAGGCTACCATGGCAACCACTGTTCCTGCTGCAAGTGGACTCAGTGGTTGCTCCGAAGCTTCCCGGAGGATTGTCAATCAGAGTCGCTGTCTTCAGACTACCGCGCCCTCTTCGCAGCAGACTCCTCCCCGTCGCTCTCGTCCCTGCGCCGTTTTGCCGAGGAGTCGAGGCCAGAAGTTGAGGGAGATTCAAGAACATCTGCATCCAGGAGCTCCTCAAAAGAGTCTTCTGGGGGCACTGGCCCGATGTCTTCAATGTCCAGTAAAGGGACCTGTAACGCAAACTCACCCACGACATCGATGTCAGAGTCCTCCTCCTCATCGGGGAGCCCTAACCTGTATCTTTGAAGCATACGGTTAATTTCATCGTTCATATCATCATCACCATCATGAGGGACAGCGTTAAGGTCAGCATGAGGGTCAGCGTTAAGTTCAGCGTGAGGGTCAGCGTGAGGGTCAGCGTTAAAGGGTCAGCAAAGGCAGCAAAAGCATAAGCATAGGGAGCAGCAGCATAGGGACTGGCAGCATAGGAAGCAGCAATAGCGTTCAGCAGAATAGGTGTGAGATTAGGGAGCAGGGTAAGGAGCAAGGTAGTGAGCAGAGTAGGAAGCAGCAGCATAGGAGTGAGAGTAGGGAGCAGGGTAAGGAGCAAGGTAGTGAGCAGGGTAGGGAGCAGCAAAGGGAGCAACAAAGGGAGCAGCAGCATAGGGAGCAGCATAGGGAGCAGGGTAGGGAGCAGCAGCATAGGGTGCAGCAGCATAGGGGTGAGAGTAGGGAGCAGGGTAAGGAGCACGGTAGTGAGCAGGGTAGGGAGCAGCAAAGGGAGGGGGGAAGGGAGGAGGAAAGGGAGCAGCGGCATAGGAAGCAGCAGCATAGGGGTGAGAGTAGGGAGCAGGGTAGGGAGCAGCAAAGGGAGGAGGAGGAGGAACCTGTGGCTCACCGTCCCCTCTGGGGGGCTCGGCCTCCTTCAGCTCGTCCTCGTAATCCGGAAGAACCACGTCGTCGAGGGCCCTCTGGACAACAGGGCGGTCAGCGAACAGGGGCCAGAGGGGTTCACCTGGGTAGAACAAATTCATAAAAAAAGTTACATTCACAACCAACACAAAGCTACCGTCTTAAATACCCAATACTGTGAAGTTCTGTTACGGCTATTAAACATTAAGAAGCTCCATGTGTGCTCTGTGTAATAATCACGTCACATCGACACGTTTCGCTTTGCAAGTTGTTGTAGCATATTTGACTGCTAAAAATGTTAAACACGGTTAGCACCATTCTGAAACATTAATGAGGGGGTGTTGGAGCACGACTCTTAAGGAAAAAAAGAGTTTGTCTGTTTTAAAAAGGAACTAACGTTACATCAGTAATAATCAGAAGCACATATTAAAATGTTACTTCCATGTGAGACCACAGTCTGCACTTATTAAGGAAAAGGTCAGTGTGCACCTGCACAAACTATTCTCCTTCATAGTTTATAAGCTGCGTTCATCATAATTCTGAGTGGAAACAGGTGGATTTGACTGATTCAGTGAGAGGTGACACTACCTCCAATATTCCCTTTAGTTTCTGATAGAATAAATAAAATGTTCTATGTGCAGAGACCCGCGTATGTAACTGCCTTTAATTCAGCGCCATTAACAACACGGGTCTCCAAAATATCCACACGGAAACATGTTGTAAACTAAGCTAACGTTCGGTCCATTAGCTGTAGGGAGCTAACGTTAACGTTTACTTTATCTTTATTTCGGGCTCTTAGCCTCTTGAATGAATACCTGAGTCGGGTATTAAATGGATTTTCGTCTAAACCTGAACGCTCTGAAGTTCGCTTCTGGAAGTTCCGTTGTTGTGATTATACAAAAAAAGTTGTTTATCTCCCAACGTTCGGTGAAAGTGCCGTCGGCGCCATTTTGTTTCCCCAATTTCCGAGACAAATTTGGACGAAATTATCCATTTAAGCAAAATTAAAAATACCATTTGAATCCCTATACATGTGTTGACACATTACACACGGTCCCTGCCATAAAAAACACACTTTTGACGTTTAATTACCATTTTACACGGAAGAAACTCCAGATGTGCCCCAAATCAGTTTCTCCATAATTTGCTAGCTTAAATTCAGAACATTCCATTTCTTAATATTCAACATTTAACGTTATTACGTGCAATTTTTGTACTGAGGTGAGCCACTCATCTCTTAAGAACATAAATAATCCCATTTGGGATGAAAATATGTCTTACTTGCAAAGGCAAGGATCCACCGTCTGACTCTGCTCAGCAGGGGCTCCACCGCAGGGGGTCCACTGGAAGACATCGTCTCCTCCACGTAACACTCGTTAGTACTTTTGGTCGGTTCTCCAACAATTTATTCTCCACAGGTTATTTTCCACGGGATTGGGCCTCAGACCGTTCAACTTTTTAGGTAACACAGCTACACTCGTCAAGTTCAACAGCAGAAGTGAATTCAGAATGGCCAGCAGCGTTCAGGTGACCTCAGTGAAACGTCACCGTCCTGTTGCCATGGCGTTTACTCACCGCTGTGCGTGAGGCGGTTTTAATGTAGTACATTGTGTACATGTACAATTGTACAACAAGTGTTTCCATAAATCCACGATGTGTGTGATAATCTGTGTTGACACACTGCATACAAGAATGCAGGTTCAGCCAAGAATGAAACATGTCACCAGTTCAATTCTTGTTGTTGTAGATGTCCAATAATGAGTAGAAAGATAGAAGACATGAGGATACACTTGAATCCCTGCGTGCTTCCATCGACATCATGTAGATATTGCACAATTAATAAAGTCCTGAACTTCTTTCACTTCATTGCTGCAAAACCGTTTCTCCATTGAGTTAATATGTCTTTCCTGATACTAAATTAACATGTGGTGATTTTATTTGCCTTAATGTGATACCGGGGAGTTTCATTTTTAAATTTAGATTAATATGCAGTTGTATACATGCAATTGTATAAATATATACATATGGTCTTATATACGCTGATAGCGACTCGATCACCATCTGCATATTGTAATTTATTTATGAAAACGAATGATTAATGACGACCCATGTGTGTTATCCCGAAAACCTCCACACGATGGCAGTGTTGTAACGTCATAAGCTTTTTATTCACTGATGCATTTTGGCCAACACGTGTTGGAGTCTGAGCTGCAGTACCACGTACTAAGTATGACGGCCTTTGTTGTTGCTCCAAACGGGCCACAATCCCCCATCTCATCTCATCCGTGTAGCATCATGATAGCAAGTCAACGATTTTCATCCAGGGGAGGCCATGGGGTCGACGTGGCGCAGGGGTAGAGAGGGTGTTGCCGGTTCGAGCCCCAGTTTCTCCATGTCCCATGTTCAAGTGTCCCTGAGCAAGACACCAAACCCCTAATTCCTCCCTGGGAAAAAATGTAAAAAGCCATGGGTTAAAAATGCAATGTAAGTCGTTTTGGATAAAAGCGTCAGCTAAATGAAATGTAATGTAATAATGTAACACTGATGTAAAGCAGCGTCTCCCCCCTGCACACAATGTATTTACAAGATTAAACTGATATTGTGATACATCATGAACCAGTGACAGTTGCTGAATGCTGCTATTTCGTACCGCAGTGACATTTATATCACAACTGTACAATCGGAAAGCTGAGAAGTTGAAAGGTTACAGATAAAGTGAGACTATATGTGATAATGGTAAATATTTAAACTGTTTAAAGGTTACATCTAGACATTCACCACCATAAACTACTGGTCCGTTTTAAATCGTGGCTATTATTTTTCTTTTCTTTCTTTAAAGTTCTTTAATTTCAATAAATACAGCACATCTGACAGCAAATATTCCTCTTAATATGTCACTAAAGCTGTAGAGTAAAAGAAGCAAGAGTATAATACTTCCTGATAAAATGTAGTGAGTGCTAGAAAATTGAAATATTCAAGTGAAAGTAGAATTTAAAGTACGATACTGGAGTACATACAGTTATTTTAAACCAATGAAAAAAAAGTGTTTTTTCTCATTTGTTTACAAGCAAAGCCAACATACAGTACAGCAGAACATGTGAAAGTAACATCAATCCCGCTTTTCTCTGTTTGGAGGAAAATGCATTTGCAGCTAATCAGTGCAGACTACATGAATGCAGCTCGAGGGTCAGAAACACTGAGTCATGTAAAATGCACAACAACCATGTACAATATGTCCACCTGTTGTTTCTGGTTTCTTGATTGAATGATGATTTTCCGTGTTTCTTGTCTGTGCGTAATGATCGTCTCATCGGCGCAATGAGACGACTACCATCATTGTCATTCTTCCTGGGACGGATTCAGCCAGGGGAAGTCCGGCATGTTTGAGAATTCATTTGAATTAACAAACAAAATAAACACGGGAACAAGTCCAAATACAGAGCTTCATCAGCGAGGCTTCAATCTTTTTTCACAGCACAGTCAAGCTTTCCTCAAAGTTCACTTTTTGACACCTTCTGCGTTCACATGCCATGCGATATTTGCAGATTTGGAAGGGCTGACTTGAGTCCAGAGCAGAAGATCTGCAAATACGAATCGACTACACGTGCCCGACTCCACCTGCAAGTGGATCACAGACTTCCTGTCTGACAGGAAGCAGTACGTGAAGCTGGGGAAACATGTCTCAGCCTCTCGGACCATCAGCACCGGTTCCCCCCAAAGCTGCGTTCTTTCCACCTCTGCTCTTCTCCCTGTACACCAACAGCTGCACCTCCAGGCACCAGTCCGTCAAGCTCCTGAAGTTTGCGGATGACACCACCCCTCATTGGACTGATCTCTGGTGGGGACGAGTCCGCCTACAGGTGGGAGTCTGACCATCTGGTGTCGTGTGCAGCCAGAACAACCTGGAGCTCAACGCTCTAAAGACAGTGATGGTTGTGGATTTCCGGGGGAACAGAGCCCACCCTCCCCCATCACCCTGTGTGACTCCCCCGTCACTATTGTGGATTCCTTCCGTTTCCATCATCACCCAGGACCTCAAGTGGGAGCTGAACATCAGCTCCATCACCAAGAAGGCTCAGCAGAGGTTGTTCTTCCTGAGGCAGCTAAAGAAATTATACCTGCCAAAGACGATGATGGTCCACTTCTACACAGCCATCATCGAGTCCATCCTCTGCTCCTCCATCACCGTCTGGTACGCTGCAGCCACAGCCAAGGACAAGAGCAGGCTGCAGCGTGTCATCCGCTCTGCAGAGAGGGTGATCGGCTGCAATCTGCCGTCCCTGCAGGACTTGTTCGCTTCCAGGTCTCTGAAGCGAGCTAAAAAGATCGTAGCTGACCCCTCTCACCCCGGACAAAACCTGTCTGTGCCCCTTCCATCTGGCAGAAGGCTGAGGTGCATCAGGACTACGACCTCCCGCCACACGGACAGTTTCTTCCCGTCGGCAGTCAGGCTCATCAACAGAGCCCGGTCCCCCACTGCCTGACTATAACACTCCACCGGTCACTCCCCCTCATACTGCACATGTCACTTTACTGTCATCTTTCACTTGTCACTTTGTCACTTGTTCGCTAGTCCACATGTATTTTTTAAACTTTTCAAATATTTTTAATTTTTAACTTTATTCTCTTATTTTATACGAACCCATAGCCTTATATTAACTAACCCATTGCATTAGCATTTCATTTTACTTTATTTTATTACTTGTGCACTGCTGTCTTGCTGTCTATTGTTACACTGTCTACTGTCACGCACCAACCGGCAAGTCAAATTCCTTATATGTTTGACATATTTTGGCAATAAATGTTTCCTGATTCCTGATTCCTGATCCTGATATTCAGAACACAACTAGGGATAGGGAAGAGATTCCTTAAGAATCATAGGATACTAACATGACCACGTGCGGGGGAAGTGTCGAGAAAAAGTCCTTCTGACACCTGAATGCATCACACGTCGTACCGTCAAAACGGATCGTTGAATTCTTGCCGCAACTCAGAACAGATCCTCGACAATTTGAAACATTTGTCAGTTGGACATTAAATACTGAACGCTAACTGGTAAAACAATTAAAATTAATTGAAGCCGATCCAAACGCCTTGAAGCCAACATATGTTAACCAGGACTGCAAACATTCAAGCTGCTCCGTGACAACAGACCATTAACGTTATAAGTGTTATGGAGACTATTCTCAACTGCAGACCAGAGGACTGGGATGATTACTACTTGTTATTAGGATGTGATGAATTGTCGACGGTAAGTTATTGCTTGTGTGTTTGAGGATCAGCCTATTTGTATATGTGCATCAACAAACCAAGACATCAAGATACTGACTGAAGAATTCAGAAGTTAAAGATAACGTAGGATGCTGGATGCAGATAAAATATCAGCTGCCTCTAAACTTAAATCTGATTCAATTACACATGCAGATGATAGTCTGATCCTGCAGCTCCAGCAGTACAATATGTCAGAGGAACTAGTGCGTCATAGAGATTCTTTGTCGGGTGGGTCTCAGTGTTTTCCTTATTAACGTCAATTCATTATTTCAACATGGGAACATGAAGGAAACATACAATTCACCGAGTGTTAGAGGTTATGTTGATAATGTCCATAGACCGTTCCTAGTGAAAGATCGCACGAACGTGATCAAAAATTGGGAGCCCGTTTGGGGAAATCTGGAAGGATTCAGCCAAACAACTTCTCTCGTTCTGGTAGATTTATTTGTCCGATCAAGTATCAGCGCTGCGTTTGCAAAGACAGGAGCAGTTCTGTCGGGCCGCAGGCCGGAAGAACAACTGACTATCATCAGGAAAAACATTACATTTTGTATTTCTTGTTAGATATAAAAGAAAATATTTCTATTGGTCCTAAACTGGCGTCGAGGAGGAGCAGGTCCTGTCGCCACAATACAAGATCCATTCACATGCAATGTGTGGTCTTCTAACATAATGTGACGATAACGAACAAAGCGGGAATGTTGTATGGTGCTTGGTGTGTCTCTAAATCTCATCCTTATCAGACCTGGTTCGCACTTTCTGCTTTTCCTTTGACTCAAGACAGTGACTCCCAAAATGAGCACTATGAAAGAGCTTTTGATTATCACTAGCAGCAGTAAGTGTTTCCGTCATGAGTACAAGGATCGGCATAGATCAATACGTTTTACAAAGAACCCTGTAGCGTAGGGGTGTGTGTCTACAACGAAGGATAGGTTGGGCGCCAGACAGGCAAATAACCCACGTCAATACCTGTCATTTTTTTAATACTATCGTTCGTAAAATGCACAATAATGTACCCGACCAGCTGGGTACCCCCTGCTGCAAAATGTAAAGTAAATCAAAGACCAAATCAGGAAGCCCATCTACTCAGGGAAAACAGCTGTATTCAAACATAAATTATAAAATCCCCATCAAAACTTAAGGTACAGCAGTTCAAGAAAACACATGTTAAAGCACACCAATAATAAAGTAGAAAGACGGAGTCCCGATAATGTCAAATGTGTTATTGTAGAGGACGGTGAGTGTTGGGTTGAGTGGAGGGTTGGCG